AATAATATTTGTCAATCTGAACTATCTATATATTATATCATAAAAATGTAATTATATATTTTTTCATTAATTTTTTAGTAATATATGTCTATATATATGTGTATTTTTTTTTTTCAAATGCCTAATACTAACAATACTATGTGCCAACCCATTTGAATCCACTTGATCAGAACCCTAGAGGCTAGAATCACATTCATTATTCAATCTTAAGCCCAATTCGTGAAATTTGTAAAATATAATAGGATTAGATTGAATTGGGTTGAGAAATTTTTGAATTAGTGACGAAATATGCAAGGTCGAGACACCTAAATTGTCATCCAATATATATGTATATATATATATTTATGATTAGATTGTAAGATTGATCCTTAATTTATGAAATCTTAGAACACCCTTACTTTATGCATACATTTTCAAGCTCCAAATTTCAACAACCTAAAAGAACCTAAAATAACCAAAAAGAAAAAAATCAACTGACGGCTCGACTAATGGCTGAGCATGAGCCTGCGCCATGAACAATGAGATCAGTTTTAATTAATGGTTTAAAAAATTTTGTGGATAAAAACAGCGTGTCACAAGGAAGAATTTTGAAAAGAAAAAGAAGAACCAACAAAAGAAAAAGAGTCAACAAAAATAAAAAATAAAAAATTAGAGGGGACCACGGTCACGTGGTGAACAGTACAGTTGACACGTCAAGGTTCGTGGTGGTCCCATCTTTTTAAGAGGATTGGTGCCTTAAAGCGTTGTTTTAACCTAAAAAAAAAAAGAAATAAATCACGCATAGGTTTCTGTGACGCACGTGTGGAGCCGACTGACACTGCAAAAGTACCGTGAGGAACATGATTTGAATGAATGCTGTTGCCTGATTGTGGGCCCCGCAACCCTCTCTTAGCTTGTTGTTTGTCTATATCTGTACCGTTCAAACTGAACATCACGTCAGAGCCACCCCAAATACCGGAGAGAAGAGAGAGAGAGAGAGAGAGAGAGAGAGCATCTTTTTAATCATATAAAAGTTGAGGAAGACAAATTATCCCCTGCATGCGATATCATGATACATTTGTTGATATTGATTAATGATAGAACCTTTATTAAGGCTGTATATATATTGGATTGGTACTATGATTTTTTTTATCCTGTCTTAAAAGATGTGAGTTATTTATATTTGATCTCAATAATGTTAAAAAAATTTCACAACTTAATAATGTTTGGGTTGGATTGGGGTGGAACGGGATGAATTGGATAGTCGGGCTCATCATTTAAAGAATCAAAGTTCAATCAAGAGGCGGAGAGAGGCAGAGAGCCGAGAGGAGAGGTAGAGCGAGCTAAGAGGAGAGTCGCAGAGAGCCGAGAGGAGAGGCGGAAATAAGCCGCTGGTACCGGTGAGCTTAAGGATCTAGTTCGACTAGTCGAGGAAGGGTTGAAGACAATCTGTGTCTGCGTGTAGAAAAAAGTGTAGGGATGAGAGTTGCTAGACGAGAGAGAGTAGTTAGAACTTAGAACTTAGAGGACATGGCTCATGCATGTTTGTGAATGTTGGGTTGGGGTATGCAGATTATTATAGGCCCAATCACAAACAGTCACAAACACCTCGGGCCAGACATTTAGTGGGCTAAAAAATAAAAAATAATGCTACAAGTTGTATTTTTCGGGTTGAGTTGAGGTGGGGTAGGTTGGGTTTGCAGGTTGTTCGGGTTTATGTACTACCCTAACTTTTTTATAGTGGGCATTTTAGGTTTCGTTCAGTTCACCGATTTAAGTTTTTAATTTGAGCTGAGATGTGACTTTATGTAAAAGTTTTTAACTGTAGTAAAAAAGTTAGATGTGACTTTTTGTGAGAACTTTTAACTGTAGCAAAGCTGAAAATGAAAACTCTTCGGTGAAATGAACGAGGCCTTAAAGTAATATCTTTTTCGGTACGTCAATATACTGGTAGGCTAAATTTTCTGTCCGTCAGATATGTAAAAATCAAAAACTACGCAGATCTAACGATTAGAAAAATATGACCTATCGATACGTTAGACGTACCAGAAATCTTTCTAAAAGTAAATGGAATCATAATCCAACATTCTACAAAAGAGGGAAAAAAAAAAAACTAAACTACTTGTTCTTTTTGAGAAATTAATTTGTCAATTGAAACAATTCTATATAATGGTGGCAGCCTAGTACCATGGGTAATGAGATATATAGTCATTTTGCGAAATTAATTTGACAATTTATAATGGATTTATCTTTACAAATTTTTAATTAATTTATTTGTGACATAAATTACTATGGGTAATGAGATATGTGGACCATACTACACTAGCAGTAGCCTAGTACCTAGTCCACTTGGGATTTTCAGTCCCAGTTTGAAACAATTTGTCAATAATGGTGGCAGCCATATATATCAATCACACTAGGAGGTCCCATTTTTGAGAAATTGCAAAAGATAACACATTATTGATTGACCTAATCGTTTCCTCTTTTTTGGTTGCGATGTTGTTTATATTTATTTAACAAAATCGATTTTTGAGTTTCCTTTGACTGGTATTAAACCCGTGTCGATATTATCCTTTTCCTCTTCTTTGCCACTTGATGAATCAATAAGGATTCTCTTTGATGTTTCTTTGACTACTTGTGTGAATAAGTTCACCCCAATTTTTCCAGCCAAACCAAAAAGTAGTCAGTTTTTTGTGATTCGTTTCTATCATTAGAAACACTTGTTGATATTGTAAATATCAAATTGTCAAATTTAATCAGATGAGAGCATGAAATTTCTATTCATTGAGCATTTTTTTAGTTGATCTGGAGTATTTGTTTTTCATACTCTCCTCTACACAATCCTTTTTTTCCCCCTTATTACTGATCTACTTACACTTAATTTGGGAAACATATTGTGGTAGTGAGACCATAAATTGAACAATTATGGAACTTTTTCACCTACAAAATAGTCCTTTGACTTATGAGTATTGAATCACTTTTTTGTATTTAAATATTTTTGATATATTATTTTCTGAGCCTTTTCTTTTCACCAAAAAAATAAAAAAGAAATAGTATTGTTGGATCGTGAGTAATGTATCACTTTGATATTGGAACCTTATTTTTAGGCATATTATTTCTTGAATTTTGATTTTTTTTTTTTACCATTGTAGTTCCTGACAGTAAAATTAATAAACAACTTTTGAAATTTATAAAGATTATTACATCTTTATCACATAATAACAGAATATTTTACACATTGTTTTATAAAATGCAAAATGTTATAGTTTTGAAGGTTTAACTATTTAGGTGAAAATTTGTGAAATTACAAAACTTGGTTGCTAATTTTTTTTTTTATTATGGATTAAAACTGTCAAAAAAAAGCAAAGTTCAACGAGTAATCCATAAAGAAAAAAGTTCGGGTCCAAGTTCAACAATGTTAATATTTTGGAGCTAGTAATGCTAATAACTAAAAAAATAGTTAATATTTAAATTTTGACACTGAAAAATTGAGGTTGTCTCGTTTCGTCCTATAAATAGAAAATGCAATAAAACCCGCCCATAAGTTATACAATAGCAAATTTCACAACTATGTCATTTTAAGTGCGTGTGTGTATTTTTTTTTATTTTTTTTTATAATTTTAATCACATGTACTCGTTCGGTGTCTAAAACGTGATTAAAATTAATCAAAAAGAAAAGAAAAAAAAAAAACGAAAAGAATATTAACAGGGCATGCCATATGGTATGCCTTTGCGTACAAAGCAGCAGCTGCTGGTCCATGTCCCCACACTCTCTGCCGCATAAATAAGACTTACCAAATCCAAATTCCAACCGTGATTTGGCTAACAAGTAGTGTTGTATGCATACTAACCAACCAATCCATGTGCTTTGATGAACACAACACTGATCAAAATGCTGAATTATTCGGTCCTACCACTACCACCCCCAGCACACTTCACACTACTATGAGCTACTATTAGCAGGGCTCTTATAATTTCTCTTCCACCTACATACATACTAGCCATGTTTTGTTTGTATCCAATTTCCATGCCACATTTCTCTTCTTTTCATGGTTTTGTAAATTGTAACCGAAAAGAAACAGTTTCGTTTGTCCTTGGCAAATCTTTTTGTTTTTCAGAGAAAAAAGATAAACAAAATTATTGCCAAATCCAGTCTTTTGTCTCAAGAGGATTTATTTATTTTTTATTTTTTATTTTTTAAAGGATGACTACAAGCTAGAAAAATTCTCGACACTGTAAATGGTGATTAAGAGTAATCCTATACATACAACAAAGAAAACTTCAAGGTAACATTATGGAAAAGTACTTAATAGGTAATTCGGTTGTTCAAATAAAAGAAAATGTAGAATGTGGATAATCATAGCCATGTACAAATAATAATTACCCAAAATCATTTTTTATGTTCTCTCAGATTTAACGTATATATTATTTGTTGATAAATCTATATGCTAGTTTCAGATTGTTTTTTCACAATATCAGATTCCCTACTTCCATTTGATTACTCCAACTACAAACTTGCGAGGCCTAAAAACAAGGGGGAAAAACAAAGCAAAAGAAAATCGAAAGTCTTCGCTAGTCCATTTTATTTTATAAAGGGTTAGGCAGCTAGTTCCTTTTAAATTTCTCATTTCTCCTTAATTCTAAAGAAATCCTATGTATTAGAAAATTTCTGTTTATCCAAAATTTCAACATGGCACGAGTGTGAAAAAGTAGAGAGAGAGAGAGAGAGAGAGAGAGAGAGAGAGAGAGAGAGAGAGAGAGAGAGAGAGAGAGAGAGAGAGAGAGAAAGAGAGAGAGAGAGAGTACAAAACACTAAAAAATAAAAAAATAGAAAATAGAAAAAAGAAGCAGCATTGCTACTTTCTCATACAAATCTTGAATAAAGAAAGCGTTGTCCTCGTGAGAGAGGGACAAAGAGAGAGAGAAGGAGAGAAGACCAGCCCTCTCCCTCCCTCTCCACACTCCAAAAAAGAGAGAGAGAAAGAGAATCTAGAGAGAGAAACTGACACAGCACAAGAGAAAGGAAGAAGAAGAAGAAGAAGAAGAAGAAAGAAAGAAGAATTGGGGTTTTATTTTTTTTCTGCTTTTGCCGGGAAATCCAAGAGAAATGACGGGCGGTGGTGCGTCATCGGGAAGGCTGCCGACATGGAAGGAGAGAGAGAACAACAAGAGGAGGGAGAGAAGGAGAAGAGCCATTGCCGCTAAGATTTACACGGGTCTTAGAGCTCAGGGAAACTACAAGCTTCCCAAACACTGCGATAACAACGAGGTCTTAAAAGCTCTCTGCGCCGAAGCCGGGTGGGTCGTCGATGAGGACGGAACCACCTACCGAAAGGTTTGATCTTTCGCCATTTTTACTGATTTTTCATGGGTATTTTTTTTTTGTTTTTTTGTTTTTGGGTTTTGGATTTTGTTTTGGTTTATTTTTCAGATCTGCAGGCAATATTTGATCCTGGACACGGCTTCTGTTAATGTTGGTTTTTTGGTCTGTGGATTGTTTGGGACTTGGGAGGTTTATGATGTTGGTTTTGCAACTTAAAACAAGTATTTCCTTTTTGGGATCTGATCTGGGTGCTGTTTGGAGAAGATGACTCCAGATCTTCATGAGATTGTCATTTGTTAAAATCAAAATGAGTTGTAAACGATACTTGCATGATTTTCTTTTCCCATTAGTTTCTTCGTTAAAATCTGAACCTCCATTAGATCTTCTTTTGTGGAGTGAAATCATGGGTTAACAGCTTAGAGCCTCGGAAATAGTTTTTTTTTTTTTTTTTTTTTGAAGTTCTTCAATGGGATTGGATCTGACTACTGCGGGAGGTTTCTTTAGCCTGGCTTTTTTCTAGCCTTGAGAGTTTCTTTCCTCTGGTTTGTGTTTTATTTAGAGATTAATAAGTATAATAAGAACATATTGAATTCACTGTTAATAGCAAGTTATGATGATTGCGTTTAAATTTGTTCTTGAATAGAAGAGGCAGAGTATCTGTTTTCTATGATCTTAACACACTGCTAAATAGGATCATTTGTTCATTCAATTAAAGCACCTTGATCTTTTGATCAATATTTGCTACTTTGGTATTTTGTTTATACTTTCTCTAAACAATCTATGAACGCCTCTGAAACAGGGATGCAAGCCACCACCGGGTGAAATTGGGGTCGCTTCGACGAACATCAGTGCGTGTTCCTCCATTCAACCAAGCCCACAGTCCTCATCCTTCCCTAGTCCTGTACCATCCTACCATGCTAGCCCATCATCATCCTCCTTCCCAAGCCCGACTCGCTTCGATGGCAACCCGTCCTCTTACCTTCTCCCATTCCTCCGTAACATAGCTTCCATCCCCACAAATCTACCTCCTCTTAGAATCTCAAATAGCGCACCTGTTACTCCACCTCTCTCTTCGCCAACTTCCAGAGGTTCAAAGCCAAAACCTGATTGGGAGTCGCTTTCTAATGGCTCCCTAAACGCATTGCGCCACCCTCTTTTTGCCGCCTCCGCCCCTTCAAGCCCTACACGCCGTCACCATCTCACGCCTGCTACAATTCCGGAGTGTGACGAGTCTGATGCTTCGACTGTAGATTCTGGTCGCTGGGTTAGTTTCCAGATGGGGACAGCCTCAGTAGCTCCTCCTTCCCCGACATTCAATCTTATGAAACCGGTGGCTCAGCAGAGTGCTCTCCAGGATGCAGTTGGTGGGCATAGCATGATAGGGTGGGGCCCCCCTGCAGAGAGGGCTCGAGGCTCAGAGTTTGAGTTTGAGAATTGCAGGGTTAAACCGTGGGAGGGCGAGAGGATTCATGACATAGCCGTGGATGATCTGGAGCTTACGCTTGGGAGTGGGAAGACTCATGGTTAAGATCGACATGAAGATTAAGCATGAGAATGTGTACAAACAGAAGGAAATAGATTACCAAAACTATATGATTTCGCTGTGCATTCTCAATCAAACATCTCGCAGCCCTGTGGTGTCTCTTGATGTCTACTGTGAAAGAGACTGACTACTGCCACGGTTGGGAGACTTCAACATCATCATATTTGGTTCATCTTCTTTCTTTGTTGTATGTACAGTTTCCTTTCTCTTGGAGAGCCGGTACAGGAATCTGAACATATATTTGTTTCGGTTGCTGAAGAGCAAGCTTCAATGTAAGTACTGATTGGATCATCTTTCATGCGGTGGGAACAACTCGAATACTTGGGGGTGAATTCGAGAGGTTATTTTTCTTCTTTCTCTAGACTATGCTTTGAAGTTAATTCAGAGGTTAATTTATCATAAGATCCAATTAAGATTAGGATTACCATGTGGATGGTATGGTCTCACATGCCTCAAGCTCAAGCTATATCTAAAAAGTAGTTAATTATTATCAGATCCATCTTGTTCGGGAAAAAGGGATCCCTTTCTTTTGTTTAGTTTGTAATGTAGAAATATCTTGGCAATATCTATGACACATTAAGTCCTCATGTGTTCTAATGCATTTGTTACATTCCCAAGTCTAAACTTGTAGATTAAGCTTGTTTTGGGAGCTTAATCATGGCTTCGTTAACTAGATATTTTACAAGAGAATTGAATTGCCCAAACGTAGTATCATAGAAATTGAGATGTCAGAAGATAAAAGTAAAGTTGAACTAAATATGAAAGTGATGACTTAATCTTTAGTAGGGCCAGGTTTCTGGTTCCTGCATTGTGAAGGTTTTTGGCTTGTTATACATTTTCTGTTGAATGATAATATACATGTCATACTGAGCTTTCTGCAGTTTTTGTTGCCTTTTTCATGAGTCGTGAGTCAAAAAAGCATCTGGGAGTGAAACCTCCAAGAGGGACCCTTCCCATGTGATGTGTGTTTTTTTCTTCAAGGCATGTGATCTGTGTCGTGTTTGGTGTGTCCTAGTGTACCGACTCCTACTCCAATAAGTCCCCAATTATTATTATTATTATTATTATATATTTTTTTTTGATTGCATTGTTCCTACCCCACTATCAGTTATTTTGTAGATGAGTGTTAAGTATGAATTTCTCATTTTTTATTCTTTGGAATCTAGTTATTTTGTACATATATTTGGTCAAACAACTAAACAAGTCAAAAAAGAAAGCAATTTGGGTTTGCTTCAGAGATTTGAGTTTAGCATGGTGGAGATGAGAGATTCTACAAGAGTTTGGACTCATGAGAACTTCTCTTGGAAGAGCTTTCATCTGTACATACATATAAAAAAAAAAAAAAAGAAAAAGAAAAAGAAAAGGGATCTTTACACATATAGCAAAATTGAAATAGTAAAGTAATAATATAGCAAATTTTTTTAAATATTATGGGAATGGAAAAATTTGATGTCATTAAAATAATTATATAATTATATAGTCATTACAATTATTATGATGTTATTTCTTTTTTATATTTATGGTATTTTAATAGTTCTGTTAAATTTCAAACTAAAATTTTGTCATGTAGTGTAATTATCTGGAAAAAAGCTTTTGGAAACCTAAAGGAAATAGTATAGCTACGGTGGACTCAACGAGGGTTCATTCGAGTTTATTTGGAACCAACGTCTTAACGCAATTCCAAAGCAGCGCAAAAAATTGTAGTGAAAGCAAGCTACTCTCACCTAATGATGGTGAAAGCTACAGGCAACTAACAGAGGAAATTCCATTTGTGATTAGTAGTTAGTCAAGAGCCGAAAAGCCTCTTGTGGGGAAAGTGGAATGTCTCATGTCTGGTAAGTTTTGTCGACTGTGGATGAAGGGAGTGAAAGAAAACATTATAGTAAAAAGTTTGAATTGCGATCAAATTTATGAAAAGATCGGAGCCGAAATATGTGAAGACTACTGACCTGCAAAACATAAAGCAATCAATTGATTTATGCGAACCGAGATGGTGTAGGCTAAAGACGCTTGAATGCTTAAGTCAGCTTTCAAATGGTGCGAAAGTATGCGTGCTTGAGTGCAGTGCAAATTTGACGATTAAGATTACCTGTTTCCCATTTTTGAACGAGGGTTGAATTTGAACTTAAGGACTTTGCACACGTCTGTGATTTTATTACTTAAACCCTTATTTTTTAAGCCTTTATTGTCCGACACCCGGATCATTATCTCGCTGCCTTCAAAGGTTATCTTGTAGGTCAACTAAATACATCATAGATACTAACCTTAAAAAGAAATTTATAAGTGGAATTGAAATATAACTTTGTTTAAAATAGTGCTTTTATATTTATATTTTTATATTTTTTATATAACACGGAATTGAATCTTCAATCCCCCACCCAAATCCCACCCCTCCTAAACCCCCCAATGTCACTAGACTAAGAGGTCTTAGGCGTGTTTAGAATAGTTTAGGAATAGCATAAGTACATAGTTTTATGCTATAAATTATATAGTAATCATTGTATGATTTTATTATTAAATTTTTATTATAATATGAGTACTACGATTTTACTACACGTCTAAAATTTTCCCCTACAAACACGAATCAAGAGAAGAGATGTAACGATTTGAAGAAGAGATGTAACGATTTGAGGAAAGTTCCCTAAAGCGACAACGATGGTGCAGTATCACAAGGATGACAATTGTCGAGGGTGTAGAGGTGCACATAGGTCATAGTCTCCTTTCCCTCAAGATTTCTAACACACTCGTCAAGGACACATGAGTACAAAAACGTATAACAGTCGTAAAAAGAGAACGGTTCTAGAAACGACAATCGTCAAGGGTGTAGGGACACGAGGACAACAATCATTGAGAGATTAGGGCGTCGTTCGTTGGAGCAATCAAGCTAGGGAGAAGTCATTGGAGAGGATGGAACAGTGGTGGTTTTTATTTTCTTACTCTTTTTATTTTGTGAGAGCCATTGGGATGTTACCAGTTGGAGCGAGAAAAGGCTTTGATATCTTATGAAAAAAAAGATATAACAATAATAAATAAAAAATAAAAAAAATAAAAGAAGAAGAAAGCACAAAAATTTAAGGTGATTTAATATTATACCTACATCAGCAGATTAGAAAAAAAAGAAAATTTATTAGTAAAAAAACTATCAACGGGCTTCATATAAATTTGGATTACAATTATAGAATCAGATCATATGTAACACAAGATTATCAAATCACTTAAATCAAGAGTTTTTTTTTAAAATGAAAATTAGTAAAATTAAATTTAGACTATGGATAAAAATATTAATATACAAAAGTAATCTTTTCCTAGTGCGCATGAATTTTGTAAGAAGGGTGCTTGCATGAATTTTGTACTTCCACTTTTAAGCCAAAGGTTCACATTAACTAATACTTTTTTATTTTAAATTAATTGTCAAAATTTCTCCACTTAGCTTATTAATTTTTTTACATCTCACACTTTCATATATATAAAATTAGAATTGAAGAGGAATAAAATTGCTACTTCAAAATTTTCCCAAATATCATTCATCATCAACCATAAATACCATACCATCATCACATGCATATATATATATATATATATATGATATACTATATGACATATGTAATAAATTCCACTTGGATAATAGTGCTTCTGTGTGATCATCTGCATAGGACATTTTTTTTTTATTTTTATTTTTTCAAATACGATTTTAATAGATATTTTTAAATTACATTATTGAATTTATTTTTCCCAAATATGTTCAAATTTTTTTAACTAGATTTACTATTCATGTCTTTTAATCAAATTGTAAACTCTCGTTTACTTCAAACTTTGGAGGTTTACTAGATGCTTACTTGCTTTCTAGGTCCCTTTTTCGGCTTTTTTTTTTTTTTTAAATTTTCTTGGGTATTAATGTTTCTCATTAATTTTTTACGTGCAAGTCTTTAAGCATTATTATTTTTTTTTTAAAAATACTGCTCTAATTGTTATTTTAAGCTTTTAACTGAATTTCTAACAATTAGAATTAAGCTGAAATAGAGAAAATGAGCATTTCACATAATCTAATAAAAACTATTACACTTAAGTTAATAAAACTCCATATTTTTATTTCAAAAATAAAGTACAAACTACCGTAGGCACTATAAATACTAGTCTATACATATATAAAAATTTCAATTAGTACTATTCAACGAATAGTACTTTCAATCAAAACGCACATTTTGGTTGAAACGTGCGTTTTAGTAGCTTAATTTTTTTTCTTTTGAGTTTTTTTTTTCTTCCCATCTTTTCTTCTTTCCTTTAGTTTTTCTCCTTAAAATTTTATATTTTTCGTTCTTGCCCTTTTTTTTAAACTTTTTTCTTTTATTTACCTAAACTAATTCTTTTACAGATGTTATCCTACTGAGATATTTCTTTCCAATTGTGCTCTAAAACTTATTTACTTCTTCATCTTAGTCCTTTTTTGATGCTTTATATTTTTGTCTTGAAATTTTATTTTCCTTCTATTTTGGTTCCATTTACCCTAAAACTTATTTGTTTATTCATTTTGGTCATTTTTTGACCTTTTTTTCCCTATTGAATCTTTATTTTTGTTTCGTTTGGGTTCCTTTTGCGCTAAAACTCATTTATTTCTTCACTTTAGTCATTTTTTAAACTCTTTTTCATGTTTTTTTTAACTTTTTTGTGTGTGTTGTTTAATGACTTATGAATAACATTCAGAGAAATTGTTGCATCAGCAAAGAATTAGTTTTTAGCGAAAATATTTTTTTTTTTATTTTTCAATACTTTTAATGATGGTTTTTTAAATTTTTAAATTTTTTATAAAAACCGTCGTTAAAAGTTGTACATTAAATGAAGGTTTTT